TAGTTACCTGTCCCCAAAACCCCAAAACCCCAAAACCCCAAAACCCCATTCACTTCCATATAAGATTTAAAGTAGTTTATGAAATTAAGAATACGTTAGTTATTTAAAATATTAATTTTTGCTTTCAAAAATGAATTTTGCGGACAGGTAACTAAATGCTAAATCATAATTTTGTATAGTTATCTATAAAAATTGCAGCCAAAAGAACGAGATGAACTTTTTAAAATGATAAATTAGCACCAGTAATACTAGAATGTGCAGCAGAAAAACTAGAATATGAATGTGAGTAGTATGTATCATTAGACTTTCAACAAATCTGGAAATCATGCTGGGATACTCCAAGAAATCAGTCAAAATAATAACCAGCTCATGGCAAGCTATTCAACTGATAAGTAAAGTCCTTTAGAAGCTAAGATTCAAACGAAATGGGTTCCAAATGTATTGCCTGAAATGCCGAAGTAATCATTAAGCGAACAATTCAACATAATGAAGGTAGCAATAGAAATAGTGTATTAAATTTGATTTAGAGTAATGAACTCTAAAACGAGCTAATCAGTGAGCTAAAGCATAATCTAAACTAAGAAACTCAGATTAATCAGGATTTAAGATTAAAATTGGAGCAAATTGCGAGAAAGCATCTAATTGATAAAGAAAACCTCGACACTGAAAAGAACTAATTGAACTAAAAACTTCAACAAGTAAAGTAAGTTGAGACATATTAATTAATTTCTATTACAGCATGCATATGCAATAGCTAATGCAAGAAAATGTCACTTTAAAGAAGTAAAATGTTTACTTAGAAAGAACCAATAAAGAATTTACTCATAAAAATAAAGTTTATCAAAACTAGTTAACATAATTAAGGGCATTTGTTGTCCACTTAACCTCTGATCTTGATGCTCATAAAAAGAAAGATTTCAGATAGTCTAATTTTTGGAAAACTATACAAGCAGATTAGTTAATCCAAGATTCTGAGCCACCTACTGATTAGTAAGATCACATTTTATGATAATTTTAGTCCATTAGCAATTGACTGCAATGATAAAAATCTGATTATACTCAGATAAGATCTTGAGAGATTACAGAATGAGTCTAAAAGACATCTTAATGATTTAAAAATTATTACTTCAAAATTTGAATAAAGTCAGGAGGCACTCAACGAATCTAAATTATAAATAAATAAGCTTAAGAAAGAATCGAATGTCCTTATATAACAACTTAAAAATCAGTTAATAGGAGCAGTAAGAAGAATCAATTATCTCATTGAAGAAAAGAAAAAAATAGAAGAAGAAATTACAAAGCGAGCAAAATATACAGCTAAACTTGAGCTAAAAATAGTGCAGGAAAACTTGAATAACAAAGGACTTAGATAAAAAGTTTAGAACTTATAAGACGGTTAGCATGAAGCTAAAATAAGAGAATAACTTGATGATTTCGATAAGTAGTACTGTATTTAATCAAACAACATTATGTCACAATCATAGAAAATAAGTTCTATAAAAGAATAAAAGAGGCCAAATACTACTCTTAAAACTGTAGGAGTAAACATTCCCATATCTGGAAGAAGATAATCTTAAAGTCGACAGATGAATTAATCATAGAATTTATCTACAAGGAGAACTTTAAATCTCTAAAGTGTTCAAAATGATGTTTAACTGCCATTTATTCAATTCACAATGCCTCAAACAGTTTCATCTCCAATTATTAATTCTAAATCTCATTCAAGGTCTCAAAGCTAATCAAGGCCAACAGTTACTATCAATCCCTATTAAAATTAGATGAACTCAAACTCCAAATAAGGGAATGACTTGACTCCTAAAAAATTTGAAAATCAAAATAATAATTTGGTAGGCAACAGCTAAAATCTTAATATGAATAGTTCAAACCAAAATATTTTGAGTGAATGCCTAAGTTAATCTGATCATCTAAACTAACCAGCTATCATCAATTAGAACACCTATCTTATGTAATAAGCTTTAAATAATCATCAGAGATAGTAGATTAGTTAAATTAATGGAAATAACAATTGTAATTTCTAAGATATGCAAAGTATTGAGGACATGTTTGCCAGTATGGATAGACAGGTATAAGCTTACTACTAACTTTAGCAAAATATTGAAGTTTATGATGAGCAAGAAAAGTAGGAAACCGCAGAATCTATGAACTGGCCTAGATCAACTCAGAGTATTAACATGAATACTAACTACAAGTAGAAATTTGAAAATGAAGATGAAGATGCATTCGATCAAGAGGTTTAGATTGTAAATAGCAAGGGAAGTTTTATCGTCAATGGTAACGCCAGCAACTCAACACCAATTAATCTCAATTAAAAATAGTATTACAATCAAAACTTCAATGACATTGATGATGACATGAGGCTAGATGATTTTTAACCCCCATGTAATGCATTTAATGCATAAAATTTCCTTGGAGGTAATGTCATTGAGGAAACCACTGAGGAGGAAAACGATTCATGCAACTACTGAAGAATTAATAATTTTTATAAATCAAAATATTTAATATCCAATCAACCCTCGGGGTTTTGGGGTTTTGGGGTTTTGGGG